TTAGGAAACGTGCCACTCCTAGCCTGCCACGCCCCGGGATAGGGAGAAGATGTACTGGGTAGGTACCACAAGACAGGTGTGAACAATTCACTTCAAGTGCATTGGGACTTTCGAGGGGTGCACCGTGAAAAACGTACCTTATCAATATATAATGGCAGCAATACTTACTTTGAATGGTTTGCCACTTTCAAAGGGGAACACAGTCGTCATTTCTTCCTTTCCCCACATGTCACCCTGTTTCGTGTTACAAACGATGATCTTCTTGTTGTCCTCATGGAAGCGTGGGTTGAAGTGGAAGGGAACATTAGCCCCTTGCATGAACTGGATACCAAAACTGTTGTAAACCAAAGACCAGAATGATTAAAATGATTGACACTGGGCACCGTCCGCACCAAGTGAGGATGGTAATCTGCTAAAGAGCAGCTCGTTTAGCGAGACGGGAAATGTCTGTGGACAGAAAGCAAACATGGGAAGGCACAGGGTCAGACGGGGAGTCTCCCCGCAGCCGTGTGCTCCATGGCTGCGCGTCAGGTCTAGAGAAAGCCAGGCGGTCTGTGGTGCCCTTCCTTGTCCTCTGTCTTTGTGGCCTCCTCCCGGCAGCAGGAAGTCTCTCTGTGCCACCTACCTCACCTCACGAAAACCCGCCACCGTTTCTGAGTAGAGCCACTCTGAGGACACGGTATGGCTGACAGTGTAGACCATCATGCTCACCTCTGCCTGCCCAGCCAGGCTGCTTTGAACACGTCAGCTACATACTTCAGAGCCAATAAACATCTGACTTCCTTATCGCTACCCAGAAACCTGTTCAAAGAGCATGAATGGATACTGTCCTTCATGGTCAGCCTCCTGACATGAAGTTATACAGTCCTGACAATAAAGGTTTGTAACGCTCCATGATGTTAATTGGAATTACTGCATGTGCTAGTTGAACTTTTGACACTGCCCGTTCTCCTTGAATGTTCATACCAACGTAAGGTCCCCTTTGATTGCTGGGGGGCTGAGCCTCTCTGAGAACACTGACCACAGAAATGGCTGGTGTTCTTGTCTCGAAGCAGCACACCCCAAAGTGGGCGACAGCTCGGGCTGGGTGCTGGGCCAAGCCAGAAGCGTGCGAGAGCAGGTACCTATACTTTATCCAGGATCACGGCTCTAGGACAAATGGTTTTCATTGCTGGCGTACTGTGTGTAGGGCGGGTGGGTCGGTGGCAATAATGAGAACTTATTTTGTCGTTAAAAGGGGATGGTGGGCCACATAGGTTTTGGAACCTTGGCTTTCACGTGATGGCCGAACTCCAGCTCCACTAGCTGCTTTCTCAGCTGGGCATTCCGATGGCTCACAAACCATCCTGTTCACCCACAGAGGCAGCTCTCAGTCATCAGCTTCTCCCAGGAAGCACCAGGAGAAGCAAATGACCATAAGCTTGACATTGGACTAAATATCCAAGAACTGGAGAGGCTTCCAAGG